TGTTGATGCTCTCATCTTAATTCATTAAAGTATCAGTATCTCTGATACCACTACTTTACATGCGATTATTTTATTAACACCCACTTTGTTTCATGAATTACAGAATTGGTTTTTGGATCTATATGAAATCACACCAACTGATTGGTTCAACCCTGCCTGTTGTTGAGATTATGGACAGCAAAGATTTTTCCTGATCAATGTACTTGTTCAAAAGACACTCATTGGGAAAAACGATTTTTTTCTCCAACCGCTAGTGCTTAGCAATAACTTAAATTATTCAAGAATGACCCAACAAATGTCAGAATGATGCAGAACTGAGTCCTGGCATTTAGAAATAGGAACATTCTAAAGTTAGACAGAGAGACCATCAAAAACCTGACAATCACAGGTCTATCTGACGCATAAAATTCTCCTATTTATTTTTCATTCTGGAAAGCCTCATGCTTTGCAGGCTAAATTATTACCAGAGCACTCAGAGACTTGTTTCATAAAAAAAAAAAAAAAATAAGAAATACAGCAGCACTTTCTATTAAGACCTGTGAGTCAGAATACAACATGATATTAATTCCTCACTGCTAGGAGAAAAACCCTGAGGAGAACTTACGGGTGTTGGTGTTTTTAGTACGACTGAATATTTTGTACTCTGCACACTTAAAATGTTTGTTTGTTTGTTGTTTCAAAAACAAAAGGTTGCAAAGATGTTAATTTTTACTTCTTTGCTACCAAAGTGACATCACAAATGAGAAAAGTTCAGTCAGTCATTAACACCCTACTATGTAGATATACAGTATGACCAGTGCAATACTGCATTGACAAATACAAAAGGTAAACACGGCTGCCTGCACCACTGATTTAAATAATGGTCTGATTCCACTGAATTTTACTGAAGAGCTCGTAGAAGTCAATCTCCATCAGATTATATTATTCTGCTGGTCTGAGTCTTACCATTCTCATCAAATCAATGCTGACTGCAGCACAAGTGACTCAACACAACTGAATACCAATTGCCTTCCTCACCCTCCTCTCACCCACTATAGTCTTCATAACAGATTCCTCATACACACTGAATTGGCTGGCGTAAAATTGATGTAATACAGACAAAATGAGAATGAGGTTTACAGTGGGCAGTGGAGGGAAGCGTCAGGTTGTGTGTAAAATCACCTCTGTCGTCGTGATAAGAGCAGTCCTATCTACCTAATACTGCTGTCTTTACGACCTCATTCACAGCGGAGAGCGACAGTAACTCTGGTCACCATGCAACAAATACATTTTTTTATTTTTAAATCAACGCTACTTCTAGGCCTCTCCATGTAAAAAACAAATTATGATGTAAATTAAATCTGAAGATGGCATCTTTTATCTAACGTAAAACTGCAATTTCTATTGACTAACATAATAAAACTGTTGAGGATTTCTAGAAAAAATGATGCAAATTGGTTAAATTAGAAACATTGGAATACATACAGTGTCTGAATTTGTAGATTCTGTACAATCTTTAACAATAGTTAAAAAAACAAAAACTAAAATTAGTCTTAGTGAAAATTCAGACTGAAACTGTTAAAAAGTCCAAGGTTTGAGGTGATTCTGGTAATAACTATTTTGTGTCCACATGTAAATCTCCTCCCTTGCAGCAGAGAGTGCTATAAACTCAGTTGCAACAACCTGTTTCGTATATTTAGAGTACTAGAACAACGTTGTAGCAGTAGAAGTACAGCTGCGGCTTTACTCCCGTTAAATGTGTTTTTTGCCACCTGAATTTGTCTCCCGATAAAGGCAGCACCATCTTGTGGCTCACATGCTTATTAAGGAATACAATAAAATATAAAGGCTGACCTAAACTCACTTCTTTCTTCAGCTGACTCCAACCATCTGCTTGAGGTGGTACAATCAAATCCTCACTATGATACACCACCCCCACGCACCCTCTGCCTCCCCCCACTGTCCCTGCAGGTCGTCGACCGCCATTACAAACCTCTGTCCTGCTCTCTTCAGGCTCCACCTGGGTGACAGTTCGAGCACCTCCTGTCCAACCTCCAGTCAAACAGAATTAAAGAAGAATTAAAAACTCAATGAGCCCAATAATTAAACTTTAATGGAGGACATAAAACAACTTGACAGCCCCTAAACGCTATAGGCAGCCACCACAAAAGCTGTACCAATCTGTTCTGTGTTTCACCCTAAAAAAAAAAAAAAAGGAAATAGATTTCTCCTAACCTGCATACAATAGCTGTCACTAACAAACTGTGATGTACTAATTAGAACTAGTGTAGTGCTTTGGGCTTTTGGGCAGAAAGACAGTAAACCGAAATTAAATATTTGTCATAATGACAGAAACTAAAGTATCAGTTTCTGCAGTATAACACCAATTTGTTGCTCTTCAGAACTTAAGTACCTACGCTACAGGCCACTTCAGTGAAGTACTAGTTAATAGCCTGGGCAACAGTTTTGCCTTTTGTACACAAGATTTTAAAAAGTAACTAAAAATGTAAAGATTTCAAGGGTGTGCAAAGGATAGGCAACAATTTAAAACTGTCTACTTCAGAAAAATTGGATGGAAGATAAAAGCCTACACTTATTGAAATATGTCATGTGATTTAAATACTGTACATAAAAAAGTTGCATAGAGCTTTTACAAAAATCACAGATGAGAAATCAACATATTCCTAAGAGCAGCAGGCAGACCACAAATTCATACTTTTGAATGAATGGAGAAACAGGAGCGAGGAACAATAATATAGAGAACGTCATTTTTTGTTTTGTTTTTTCTTTCTGCATTTCCAACAAACTCAAACACTCTGATTCAAACAGAATGAAGAATGAGGGGGGGATTTTTTTTACTACTCAGCACCTGGTTAGGATCCTATTTTGTTAAGTATTCATGTTCCTGTATAGCATGTGATGTTTTTGTTTAAAAAAAAAAAAACAGAACTTGTGCTGTGAACTAATTACCAAGACCACCTTCAGCAGAGAGTTCAGGTTTCCTTAACAGAACAAATTGCCTTGCGGTTAATTTTGTAGCTGGTGGATTGGCAGCATTAAGAGCTGAAATAAGGCTCCTGCCTAGACCACAGTGGTATTGAACAGTAAAAAGAAACTCCTGAGCCTCATTTCCATTTTTATATGCTTACTTAAAAGAAACACTGTCCGCCTCACCGACCGCCCTAAAGATGTAATATGTAGCTTTAAAACATAAAGGGATGTCTGTTATATTAAAACTGCTTTCAAATCAGTTCACACAATGCTGACTAAGCCTTTCTGCTCTGCATCACCTCTCTCTGACTCCGCCGGATGAACTATTTTGGAAGTGTTTCCTGAATACATTCAGACAGGGAGAGGAATTTTTACCCCGGCATTGTTCTCACACTGACCTTTCTTACGACTTCTTGCATTAATTTACACACAACTCAAAATAGTACCAAGTACCTAAAAAAGACAAAATATTCAATTATCCATGTCTCTCTATAATGAGACTGTTGTCACTTAACAGTATACTTCAAATACCTCGGAGTATACCAACGTATTCTTCAAAGTCAAATCTGGCTTCGGCTCGTTGCCCTGACGATGGTTGACACGGTTTTTTATTGTCTAAGACAATAACTTGTTTGTGCAACGGTTCAATAAATATGTCACATCTTCAGGGGGCTGTTAGTTCTGACCTCCATATTGTGAAGAGTTTAGTAAAGTAATTTGTTTCTCTGTGCACAAAAAAACAGCATAAGCTTTCTGAGGAAGGCTGCAATCCTTTTAAAAAAAATTGCACTGCCTTTGGCAAAAAGGCACTTGAGAAATTAAACGCAATTTTCTTAAGGGATTTATCACTGTGTCATCAACTCCATTCCCCAGAATATAATATATTACATATTTCCTTGAACTTTTGCGCACTCTGCAGAAGAAGTGATTTGTTTCGGTTCATGACCTGACAGGAACACAGAGGATGAAAAAGACGTGTCAAGAATTGAAAAAGTGAGACGGCTGCAAACATGTGGTGCAATAATGAAAACAAATAACCTCAGAATAAAATAAAATAAAGCAAAATAATTCACCTAGTGTGGGGAAAAAACACAGCATAGAAATAATTAGTATTCTAGAATTTTAAGGTAATAAAATACATTTTTTTAAATGTGAAGAATATGTAATCATTAAAGTGATTGTAAACAAGAGAAAAAAAGTTTAAATATGGAGATAGTTCTAATACAGACTCATCAGACCAGACTTTCCCATGACATTTGTGATTAAATCCATATTGAAAATGATTTAATATATCAGTCCACCATATTCTCAGCAGGCTGAGTATTTACATAATAGATTTAGTTTAATGGCAGTTTTCCCACATCGCCTATGATCCTGCATTCATTTCACTTCCTGAGTTTCATACTATATACACAGTGGGCAGCAGCCTGCACTTAATTTGTATGCATTCAGTGTGCATGTTAATGCAGCGACACTAATCTTGATGATGTGAGGCACTGAACTCTACACAGCAGCTGCAGAACAGTTCACAGCGTCATCCACATGAACAGCAGGTAAAGCAAACGTCACATTTCTGACTCAGATTTGTGCGTGTGTGTGTGTGTGTGTGTGTGTAGGTTTTGATTCAACTGCAGAAAATTATATAACACCAGGTCACATCACATTTAGATATATCGGCATTAAAGCTCCTATTATATACAGTTATAACATTCTGTCCCCTGTAGGAATTTGCATATGCAACCAGCAATTATTCAGGTAACGACTGATAACACCTATAAATGTGAATTAAATCTATGTTGACTATTGAACCATAGCACGTGGTTAAGTCATTAGCATTTTACAAGTGAGCTTCGAAACAAAGACGCATTTAAATATCGTAAAAACACCGAACGTGTGGCTAAACCGTGTCCACTGCTTCATAAAGCAGCACTCCAAACTTCAAACAGCAGAGGGCAGCAAAAAACAATTTAACTGCTGCCTTGAAGCAGCAAAGTTACGAGTTTTAAATTAAAAAAAAAAAAACTCCTTACCGGCGTTGACTATAGCATCCACCTCCAACACTGTGATGTCTCCTTTGTAGAGAGATACTTTGTCACTCAGTCCTCCTCTTCCTGGAACTTCCTTTCCTTCTTCTTTTCTATTGGCTGGAGCAACAATAAATATTATGAGTTGGTGCAATTCATATTTGCCTTTAAATTAGAAGACACTGGACATTAGGAAGTGATTAGACATACCTGAAAATTATGTAAGTTGTGTCATTTACAGTAGTAGGGCAGTGTTTGCACAAATAGGGTTAGATAGATATTTAACCTTTAAAATTACATTTAATTACATTGTTTCCTTCCCTCAGATAATACAAATACTTTCAAGTACGTGTTTATGACACTCTCCTTCCTCTGAGTTCACTCACTAAAATCACTGTGTTGATTTTAGCACGAAATAACATCAGACCTAAAATTTAAATTATCCTAATTTTTCAACTACACAACTCATTACATAACAGAACCTAATTGGGTGAGATAAAAAAAACTAAAAGCACAAAGAGGGAAACATGAAAATGTAATTGTTTTGTTTGTACATTACACCTCTAATGTGTGTGTGTGTGTGTGTATATATATATATACATTTATATATATAAATAAATATATGAATTGTCCCGCTCACCTCTGTTCTCTTCTCTCCAGGTCGGAATCTTCTCCAGAGGTATGAAGTCTTGGCGCCGGTATTCCTTGCGTCTCTCCTCCCCATCTAGACGGAGCAGTCGCTCTACAGTTGATGACAGTCAAGACATTTCTTTTTTAATTACATCACAAATTATGGTGTCATATAAGTAATTTTAATGCACTTAAGATGAGCATTGACAATATACAGTTCAATGTTCGGTTGGGGATTTCTGACTGAACTGGGTTGAAGCCACTAAGCTAAAGGCCTGGGAGTAGGGGCTGGAAAGCAGAGGTGGCAAACAGCTTTACAACCAAGAAGTGGTAATACTGTTCATTCTCCTGATATGCTCTGTCATTAACTGCCATGTCTGGTTGCTCCTCAGTGTCGCAGTTCTTTGGGTATACTTCATAAAAAAAAAATAAAATTATGTCCCCAGTGTGAACCTACAAATTTGCGGATTAGCAAGATTTGGCTAATAGTGTTTATCGGCTTGACACAGACACATGTCGTATAGCAACTACATCAGGCTCTAACCCGACAGATCCTGCTGATTTCACTGTTGCTCTCTCTCTGTTGCCACAGGGACAAGCTGATGTTTAGACTGGCTGGAATGGGTTTGTGCGTATTTGTGTACATACTCCATCAGTGTCTACTGATAAGCACTGTGTAATGTGGTCATGTTGTTTATGCTTCACTGCACTGTGATTCCTACCTTTTACAGCTCTTTACTGAACCCTGCCACAACATGAGCCATATGTGACTTAACACTTGCTAATGAAGCTACACGTGTTGCTCTTGAACTGGTACATTGACCCACAATAACTTGTCTGCACACGGGAAAACTTAGCAGCTCACAGATTCAAGTTCATTTCTCTTTAAGTGCAGCAGCTCATCTGCTCCCTCTCTGCTTCTCTCCAGACGCTGCACTGCCATTCTGCAAAACAAGCTCCATCCTAATTATGTCCTCTCTTTGCTACATAACACCCCAGTGCAAACAGCACAGACATCCACTCTGCGGAACAGTCACTATGTGCTGGTTATGACACGACACAGGAGCAAAATAATAGTTTACCAAAGTACAAGAGAGGTTCTGTTCCTAAATACTCAGCATTTAACAATGTTACAGCGCAGGAACACAGATCTGCAGTTTCACTGCATAAATGATGGAACTCAGCTCAAAAGAACATTTAGGCACATCCCACTCAGTATGTCAAACTTAGGCCAGTCGTAAGTCTGCAGCGTGTACTAATTTCAATCCTGAGGTACAATCTCTCCTTCTTGCCCACTCCTGTCACCTATGAGGCTGCATGTAAGTCAAAATGAATGTTAGGTTGACCATAAAAAAGCTGTCGCGGACACGCTCACTTACTGTTTGAGCCAATGAAAAATCCAAATTCCAGATTTGTTTTTCTGAGAATAAGACATGCTCAAACTTTGTGCACAAGGTTTTGTTATGATGCTTCCACACAATGAAAACCAGATCCCATATGATTTTACTTTGCAAAATGTGTTATACACAGCAAGGACAGTCCATGCAGTAGACAGAATCCATAAGATGTCTGTTACATAAAATCATTAGACCCTTGCATAAAGTCTATAACAAAACTTTTTAAATACTTTATACTATACACAATCTTATATGAATTTGACCTGTTATAAATCATGAAAATAATAATTTATACAACATACTAAAAATCCTGAATATCTAAATATGCCTGTAAATATGTACCTCAGTTTCACTTCCACTTCAGACAAAACTTAAACTTTGGCATATTTTAAAAAGCCACAAAATCAAAAACCATATGTGCAGATTCTCATCCAATCTTTATTTATGATTTATTTATTTGGAGAAATATATCTTAGTAGACAATGTCCTCCTACGTCTGACTGTGGGGACGTTTTGTGTGAACCATGTTGTACTTTGCCACAGTACTACCCACTGTGCTTTAAGGCAAGTCTCAAAGACATAAGCGCTGATAACTATCTGTTATGGTAACTTTTTTAAAATTCACCACAGAATATCTAGGTGGGAATCTGTCTGAGTCAGAGAGCAACCACAGCAAAGAAGAAACCACAATACACAATTCTGAAAAAGAAAACGCAAATTAAATGGACTGTCTCTTTAATAAGTCAGTCTGCTACCATAATTGCATTCCAGGTTGTTACCTACGTTGAAGGCCTTTTACTGTAACACTCAATGAGTTTCATAACTGGATAAAATGACTTTAGTGGAATGGAATGAAATGAAAGTCATTACTAATCAATGCGATTAAATGCACCTGCGTTGTGTCTGCAACAACGAGAAGAGTCCTGTGACGCCGGTATCTGTAAGAGCTACTCTAAGAATGTAATAGTAAACCTAAGTAAACCTAACCACGTTTAAATGTGCTACACACTGCGCTCCTTTGTTGCACTGGTCTGAGAGCTCAGTGAAGGTTGTTTGCAACTGAAGTGAGCCGCTTTTGTTGTTGTAGTATCAGACAGGTGGGCAGTGAAAATGTTGATTAGTAGCATCTTTGTCTCGGAGGTAGCATGATGTTAGCATGGAGGGGAAAGAAAATAGGGAGAGCATCTTATATACATACTAATAGGCAGGTGAGGTTTCTGTGAGTACAAGTGTTGCAAACGTGAAGCATACATCACGACAGCTAACTGTGTCAACATCTGCACAACCACAGTGTGGCATTAGCGAACTATCTGGACAGAAAGTATTGTGACAGTGAATGCAGATGCAGAGGAGCAGAGAGTGGGTGTCAGTGTTCTGGCATGGTTAGGATTCATGCTGTCTGCCATGAATGAGATTGGTGAGAGCTTCATTCAACCCTAAAACAAGCCTTACCTTTTTCAGTCTTCCAGTCCTTTTTCTTTTTGCTCATGCTGCCGGAATGAATAGACTTCGAAAGGTTGTTTTTTGACTGTGGCAACCCCAGGCTCACAGTGAACAGTGTTCCGGGAAGTAGCTGAAATGTGAAAGTGGAATAAGCACTGGACGCTCGTCTCACCTGTGAAGCTGTCAGATTTCTATGAAGCTCAGTGGCCTCAACCTACCGTGACTCTGCCGTAAATTCTGTGTATACAGCACCACCAGCTGATTGGATAGGCAAACGGAACATCTGGTATGTGATTGGTTTATATTTCTGTCAGTTACGCATACCCCGCAGACTGCTGAGCACCTATTGGTTGATTTAGGTGCGTTGTCTTCCTGGCGTGCGGTAGTTTTAAGTGCAGTCTAGTTAACACTGTCACTGCTTCAAGACCAACAGGGAACTTGTGTTGTGAATATACTTTCCAAAAACTCGAGTGCAAGTCATTTGTAGACTTAAAATATAAATATATATTATTTATATAAATATTTTAACATGAAAAAGTACCACACTAGTTCAGACAATTATAGTAGGGACTCGGGCACATTGATGAACCCTCCTAATAAAGTGGAACATCAACATGGTCTTAAGAAATTTCACATCATCACATAAATTTACAGGATTAATAAAATAAAAAGTGATCATCAAAGTGATTTTGCTTATTATTGCCCACAGGTTTCTCCCTTGATGAATATTTAAAAACTTTAAATTATGACGCTCAAAGAAGAATTATGGCAGACCTTTAGATAAGAAAGCAATCAGTACATTTTGAGATTCTGAAGTAAGAAGAAACTCTGCAGAGAGATGGTAGAATTCTTGACAGTGGCAGCCCCTATTAAAAAGCTGCAGTCCCAAATTAGAAATAGAATTTGACATGTAGATGGAGGCAGTAGAATCAAGAATATGTCACATGCAATTGTGGCAGTGAAAGGCTTAATGCAATGAAGCTGACTTTGCAAAAACAACTTAAAATACACAGGGAACGTTGCAGGGATGTTTGGCTCACATATATATTATACTTTTAAGCATCTTTTTGGGTCCCTAACCCAGAAGCTCGTTCTCAACAAAATTAGAATTGTTAATTTGTTTTTTTATTTTGATATAATGTCTAAGTTGCGAACAAAGGCAGAGCAATGTCAAAACCAGGGTCTTAGACCCGTTTAATCAGGGCACAGGGCTTGTTTTCCAGCCACAGACAGACAGCCATACAATTGCTTCCAAGGACGTGGGCTACAAAACGACACTTGTAACAGAATATCATGCTATTATATCAAAAATCAAATAAAAACACTCTCACTAAAGCGTGTTGTGGCGGGTAAATGTTTAATGTTTAATTATCTGGTTCTCTACATTTGTTTAAACTTTTTTTTAATTAAAAAGTCTGCTACATATTAAATATATACATTGTATACATGTACATATACTGCACATGTTTACTACCTTGGATCTGGAGCGCTGTATGCAAAAACTGTGTAAAAATACGTGCATGAATATAGTGCATTTATTCATGGTTGATGTAGAGAGAAGCTGCTGTGTGGAGGTCAGTGTTATGTGGGCTGGTTCTGATAGCAATAATACAATTTTTGTTGCATTTATCCTATTCATTCAAGCACTAATTTATTCATAATTTTCATACACACGGAAACATTTTAAAACCTGTCCTTGTCCACAGTGCAAAGGATCATATTTCAGGAAGTCAAGCTGTCATATGTGAGAGCCCAGTTCCAGAGACCACGGTCTGTCATCTGCTGTGTTAGAGCTGCCCTGGTCCAGACCCATCTGCTCCTAAAACTGATGACATTATCTGTGAGCGGAAAACGTTCTTCATCCAGGTCTGAACCAAGTCCAGATATTCAATGAGATCGGATTTCTCCAGGACAACCAGGCGAAAATGTTGCCATTAACTTCTTCTAAAATCTGTCAGCGCAGATGGAGCAAGCTTCATATGAAGCTTGCTCCATCTGATGCTTCGTTTTAACTATAACACATGCTGCAGTTCTCACTAGTCATCCAAAATTATGCTCTAATTAAAGATTGCTATCACACTAGGGAAATTGAAACTGAGTAATTAGTCGCTTGTATCTTGTATAGGAAAATCATCATTTGTCCTTGTTAAATACCAGTTTTTATTCCAGAAGTGGCCAATGGCTAAACTGAAATACAATCAAGATTTAAAGCTCGAGAAAACAATTACATTTTTTTACTAGCATTTGTGCAAGAAAAAAGAATATTGAATAAAACTGCCAATGTCGTCATGCAATAACTCTTGAAACAAAACCGACAAACGCAATTTTTACCTGCACTTAGCAAATCTAACCACTAGATGTCAATGTTGCAACAAAATAAGCATTACTTTTAAAGCTACGACAATTTTTTTATCAAGAATAAATTAAAGAAATAAATTAAATAATAAATAATACATATCTTAAAAATGTAAACATTGCATAGATTAGATAGAATTGTTGAGCTGTGTAATGTTTATTATTTGGTTTATCAACCCTTCAAAACTGGGCAATTGTCATATCTGAGCAAACGTCAATATTTTTAACAAAATGTTGACGTAAACTGCTACATTATCTTGCTTCCACAAAACATGATTTATTTTCACAAACTGAAAAAAAAAACATTTAAAAATAACTAAATTTAGTGCTTAGACAAATAGAGAAATAAGTTGTGACCTGAAATTCTACAGAGAAGGAATTTCTGATGGAACCACCGCTTGCAAGTGTCTTCACCTAAATGGAGAACTGTCTGGCTGCTCATACTTAATGCATACATTTTTTTCATATCCAACTTTTGATGAACACATGTAGGACAGTTAGATATAATTAGATGTGAATGGACATATTCATCTCAAACTTTAAGTGTGTCCACAAGCTCCAGGAATCATAATTATAAAAGATTATTGTTTACACACCATTTACTCCGAGGGCCTGTGATGTGTGTATGTGACAATTTGGCAAAGCTTTCAATCAGTACCAGTTTCAACTTGTCTCTATTGTCTTCAAGTGGTTTTAAAATATTCACTTTTTGTATTGCTCTGGTATCTTGTCAAAGTAGTTGAAATCAGGGGTGTTAATTTTATTTACATAAATCCATAAACACAAAAATAAATCAAATCACATTCACCAACAGAGGAAACTCCTGTCAAGAGGACAGCTTAAAGCTCAAGTACGACACGGCGACTTCCCCAACCATATGAAAACACTGGGTGCTACGTTGGTTTGTGTGGGCTCTTTTTAACCTTCTCAATCAAACATTTGTCTGCCCAGATTATTAACTGTGTCCTGCCATATATTATGCCCATCTGTTTAGCAGATGTGTGTTCACAGTGACTCACTGCCTTGATCAAAAAGGAGTCAAGAACTTTCATCAAGTGGCGGCATCTTCATATGCACAGACTTAATACTGACCTGCCTGAAAACATGTCAATCTTTTATTATTTTCTACCCATTGACACGACACCACTAATATGTTCACTATGGTACTTTGCTTTAGTTTAAAGCAAATTAAACGTTTGTCTTAGAAAACCCTTTGGGGAGACACTTCATGAAAGGACACCTGTTCTTAGTTCATATAAAAACATATGTTGAATAAACATCAATCTTAGTATGAATGAATGCCACTACACAGAGAATTCAATGACAAATTAGATTTTATTCTACACTATTGAATTATTACCTCCTAATCTATATTAATTAGGGCTGACAAATGGCAACAAATATTAAATTATAAAAAAATATATTAAATTATTCACATCTAGGTGTGTATTGCTTGTGATTGTTCGTGATTAATCATAATCAATACATATTAATCATGATTAATCATTAATCAAATATTGTGAGAACATAGGATTAAACAACAGCAGGCAGCTGTATGTGTTTCACATGTGTTTTGATTTATGACTAAACCAAATAATGGAACTATTAATATGGATGAAATATAAAAAAAATATAACCAAAAATGTCATACTTTCATAGTTGATAGTTGTTGTTTAGTCATAACTGTTGCTTTCAACACTCAAGTGAAGCTGTTGTCCTCAATGATATTAATCAGTTTACAGTCAGACATGATCGATAACTTCTGCAACATTTCCAAATTTTCCAATTTTCACACCAGCCTTATCTGATTTTTTGACTGTCATTTTTCAGTCATAATTACACGCAATCCTTGTCTCACAGTAGGTCATGATCACCACTAGAGTATGGTCTGCCTGATGTCAGATCAGCTGGTGATGAAATGCATTGTGATGTACCATATACTGTATATGTGAATACTGTGGTCTGCTGAGCCTTAATTTGTTTAGGCGGTTTTCTCAGAACATTGAATTGTGCTTATTCTTTTCCACTAGATTCCTGTGGGTCATAGCTTTGACAAAATATGTGGCAGCAGCTCCTTGTGTTTATTTTACTTCATTCAGCCTTTTAGATCGTCCTCTTATTCTTGACAATGTCTGGTTTCTGCTTGCTCAAACCAGTAGGGTTTCTCTGTGATTTCTGGCTGAACTGGAGTTAAATAGATTATGCACAAAGGTGTGTTCATAATAAGTTGAAAGTGTTTTTCTTTATTTCTTTATTTAGCCAGTGTTTACAGTGTAACTCTTTAAAATAACGTGCACAATAAGTATTTGACCTCTTACTTACAGAACATTAATGTTTGTGTAAAAAAGTCATGTACGTGTCATCTTAAATTCACTTATGTCGTTATTAATATCATTTCATGGATGTTCTCTGTGAACATAGCGTCTTTCGGCCTAACTTTAACGATCATGTGCTTGAATCACGTCTGCTGACTCCATGGTCACAACAGACAAGACATCTGTTAAAACTGCACTAAGGCACTATTCCTTCTCACACCATTAGCAGCGGCAAGAAGTTGTTTCCACAGTGATATGATGGTATGCGATACTAAAGCCACCCCAAAGGCTTGCTGGCCCCTCAGGGTGCACTCTGCGCCCTGGCCCCAGCTCCCTCTCTCTCTCCCTTTCTCCTTTAATTGCTCCCAACACTCTTTGATCTCTTTTGACTCGATCCAAAGCAAATATCATTATGGTTCACATTATGATTAAAGAATGTGTTTGTTTTGGTCGGCCCATACAACTTCTGCTTGCACCATAAATATAGGAGGGCCTGTTTCAGATTTATTTCAAATTTACAAAACTGCAGTTTTAAGAGGTTTAGCTGAATGGTATGCACATTTATATCGCTTTGTTGTATTTTGTAGCTGCATAGCTCAACACCATTTTGTCAACATCGGTCATAAAGATGTTTTTTTTTTTATGATGTAAAAGACCGTAGTCTGTGAAAAATGATGCAGGAGCTCTGTTTTTCTCAACCATTTAGAATGCCTTATCACCTGCTTTATCACCTTCAAAAAGACACAAAACACTAACAAAAGAGTTGAAAACAGCCCAACAGTTCTATAGAATACAAAGATACATATAATTCAAACATGTATGTCTTTAAAACAAGTTTCCTTTTACTCTCTTCTAAATTCTAAAATAACAAAATAATTATTTATTTTACTTTAATTATTAATACTTTTTTTATTCGTTTTTATCCTATTGGTAGCCGCTTGACTAAATATATAAAATATATTGCAGGTGTTTGTGTGTATTTTTATATTAGATGCATATGTTAGAATTAGCGTCGTTTCGGAGGTTGTACTTTTATTTTGGTCAGCCCTATCCACGTGTTGCAAATGTTTCCTGGGAGCGCACTTCCTTAGCAACGCGTGTCTCCACCCGGAAGTATTTCTGAATTCTGCTGCTAACCAGGAATGTATAGTAGCACAGGAGGAGAGGAAAAGTGTGTCATTAAACGTTTGTCTTTATAAACAGACAAAAGTCCGTATAATTACAGTGTTCATGAAGCTAATGTTTAGTTATGTATAGGTTAGCAGTTTAGTAGCTGTTTCGTGTAGAGGTGAAGAATAAGAACAGTGTAAGTGCACTCTGTTTTTGTCAGCTAGCTTTCAGCTAACATGCTAACGACAACAGACCTTTATTGGCTTGACTTTTACTGTTGTAACTAAGGTTACCGTTGCCTGTTTCTTGTTAGAGTTAACGTAACACAAACTAAAACGTGTGTTAAATAGTCCTCACATGAAATGACAAACAGTGTATTACACCGTAATGAAATACTATATTAAAATCAGAACTGTGTAGCGTACCGTTAAATGTCATTTGATCTATAATTGCAGTCATTTACATGCAAATAAACTCGTTTTAAGATTATTATTTTTTAATTATTTTAATCTGGTTATCATGTTTATTGTCCATGTATGTTGAAGTAAACAATTTATTCACATTATTGTTAGGAAAAAGCAGTAATCTTAGTGTTTTATTATTATTTTTTATTTTGTCCCAGGTTTGCCAACATGTCCCGGGTGTCCCTGCTGTCTGATAGGTCATGATAGGCTTGTCCAGTTATGTGGGGGTTATGGAAAGTGAAATAAATTTTGCTGAAGAGCAGCAACCCCTGTCTCCTCAGGCCAACTCGTGGACCAACAAACAGGATCAAAAGCCTAAAGTTTTTGGTGGATTTGTGTTAGTCCATGCAGGTAAGTCAATGTGTTTTGTCATGTGTTTTGTTGAAATAGAAAAAAAACATCAGATTAGTTTTTAAAACCAACATACATACAAATGCATAATTGATTTAAAAAAAGTAATGCTAATATTGTTAGCGCAGCATTGTTAATTTACATTTTACCATGTAGTAAAGTATTTCTTCACACTTTCAGGAGCAGGATACCATTCTGAATCTAAGGCCAAAGAGTACAAGCATGTTTGTAAAAGGGCATGTCAGCGAGTAAGTTATGTGTTTTTTTTTATTTATTTATTGCAGTCTCATAGTGTATGTAAGAAAAGAAGGAGACAAAAGGGTACTCTACTTTCATTCTTAGCAATGCATTAAGTCAGTACTTGTGTTGAACTTGATTTTGCATTAAAAAAAAGTATTTTCTGCAGTACTTTATTGCATTAGGTATTATTTGTAGCCAATTAATGAATTAACAGTGAAATTGAAAAATAATAGTTGTATTAGAGCTAAATTCCAGTGTCCATATCTCATTTTCTTAGATTTGCTACTTTCCAGTTTGGACTGAAAATCTACTTGTGTCTTTCTTTGACAAGTGTTTCTGTCAATTCCAGGCTGTGGAGCAGCTCAAAGCTGGCGTACTGGCAGTGGAAGCAGTGGCTGCAGCACTGGTGGAACTTGAAGTGAGTTATGTCTTAATTGTTTTAAAGATATCATACCTTTCATAACCTGTATGATTTTGTTGTTTAACTACATTTGTACATGGTTAAAAAAATCTATGGGCAGCACAAACAGACTGTACAACCAGGGCTACCTCATGTAAAAACCAAAAATATGTGCAATATCATCTTATTATTATCTCCATTAGTTAATTTATTATTTAGTTTTTTTATTTTTTGACCTTCAATATTTTCAATATAAACTTTTGTCTGAAAACAGTATAAAAGTGGTAAACTGCAAGCTGATATCTCTATTACAGTAACACTAAATTTTACTATAGTTCCTTGTACTGTACTCGGCTGCTGTTAACATTTTTACTATAGTTCCTTGTACTGTACTCAGCTGCTGTTAATGTTGTGAATTCCCCCATTGTGGGACAAATAAAGTACTTCTAATCTTTCTTATCTTGAAATGACTTTGTAGTGTCTGTAAGAATCCAGCTACCTCAAGACATGAAACAGAGCTAACATTTGTCCATTATATAACTGTGTTCAAACATTTTCCTTTTGTTCATTATATTAGCCCTAAAAATGGCTTGCTGTACCGATGACACTTTTACTCTTTTGATTCTACATGTTTAACTTTTATCCCTTAGGATTCTCCCTTTACAAACGCAGGCATGGGCTCCAACCTCAATTTGTCAGGGGAAATTGAGTGCGATGCGAGTATCATGGATGGAAAATCGCTCCATTATGGAGCTGTAGGTGCTATTAGTGGTGAGTTATATCTTTTGTATCAATATTTACGTAAAGTTACTTTGTGATGGTCATACTGGGGGCTCAGTCATGTGGTAGTAATTTTAACAAGTCGTGCCTTTGTGTCAGATGTTTAGCAGATGTACAGTCTGATGCGTGATATTTAAGATAATTGGTATTTATCTGTGCATAAGCAGTATCCATAGACTGTATGTATTTATATGTTGTGGTTTTTCTTTTTCAATTTTAGAAAAATAGTGATTACCACATGGAAACAACTGTGAAATTACACATTTGTAAAATGATATGAATATGTGATTACTAATTTTTTCGTGTTCTTTCTCAGGTATTAAGAACCCAGTCTTAGTCGCAAACCGTCTCCTGAGTGAAGCACAGAAAGGGAAACTATCAGCTGGAAGAATCCCACCCTGGTGACAATAAAAATGACACCTTTTCTTTAGTGTTGGATAGATTTTTCGAAAATTTGTTAATTTTTTTTTCTCCCCCCAGCTTTTTAGTTGGGCGAGGAGCACATGACTGGGCTCTCAGCCATGGCATACCATCATGGCCTTCAGAAAAAATGGCAACGAGTAAGAACTGTTCCACTGATAGTGGAACCATTAGTTATAGTTTTTGCAGCGAAGAGATGAAGTCAGATAAGTGTTTGTGTTTGAAGTTAACAGGCAACATTTTGTCACACACAGAATTCAGTTTATCTGCATATCGAAGAAACAAGCGAAAGATGGAGCTGGCAGAGAAAATGGAGCCAGGACAGACAAAGAGAAGACGACAATCAAGCGAAAATGTGAGTTTTGTGATTAATGAATCAAGGTAATTTCTCTTTCATCATGGAATACACTGACAGCACAATTCTGGATTCATTGTAGTATTCTGCACACCTACTTGCAGTTGTACATTTAGGTGTTTTAATGACTATTGATTTTTCTAATGATAATGAATACATAACAATTTATTCTCTTCTGCCTTTGCTGTGATTGTCTTCTGCTCAAAGCTAGGTACATTTTTTACTTTTCTAGTAAAAGTCCTTTTGCAAAACTCCAAACAATATGCAGTAAAATGAAGAATTGCAGTAAGGAGTGTAATGAGTTGTTTAGGTAACATTGCCTGGTGTAAAAGCAGAAACCCAGCAGTTTGACAGTTATGATCCTACATTTTTCTAGGAAAATGGTTCCAAGAAATGCTTGAAAGTGTTGACACAAAAAAGAAAGTTGCTAAGCCTGTGGAGTGATCAACTCTGGCAGCAACCCAAAAACAGGGTGGGAGAGTTTATTTTAGTTCAAACGTTCTGATGTACATGTTAAAACGTGATTGGCCTCAACCTACAATGAATCACAGGATACGTTTATGAACAGCACTGTGGTTTTTCAGGGTCAGTGACATTATTCCACAATATTAATGATGCGTCTCAAAGAAAGACTAACAGCTAAGATGAACCATCTGTTGACTTTGGCATGTTCTAATAAAAATGATTGAGCTTTGTGTCAAATGTCGGGTTTGTTTCATTTTTCTCCCAAGTGTCTCTGACCAGATTCATACGTATGTGACCTTTGTGCAGTAAAATGACAGAGATTGAACCAATCAGACGGTGACTGATTTTCGTGCTTCATGCTTCCACTCGTTCATGTAATTTTACAGGACTTCAACTTTCACCTTTTAATATTTAGAAGTATATTTTAGAGCAGTGATCATCAACCGGCGGCTCATGGGTCAAATCAGGGACCAAACCGTCCAGTCTGACCCAGGGCTGGATTCCAAAATAAACATTAATGTTAGACAAAAAATTGATTTTTTTTTTCCAAAAATGTCCCTCTCCCAAGGTGTCTGTCCAGAAACATTGTGGCCAGGCAACAAATATAGCTGGTGACCCCTGTTTTAGAGGGATCACTTTTGCCTCAAGAATTGTAATTTAAGACATTTGTTTTTAACCAAGATCTGATTACTGCAGACGAGCTGTATGATGGTTCCACTTTGCAGATTATTTCTCCGTGTTTGTGTCTGCATTCACACAGAGAAATGTTTTCTTTCAACCATGTGGATTTATAGACTCTTGTCCTTATGTGCTCCAGGAAAACGGCTCTGGGTGTCTGGACACAGTGGGAGCTGTTGTGGTAGACCTTGAAGGGAACGTAGCTGCAGCCGTGTCCAGTGGAGGCCTGGCCATGAAACACTCCGGCAGGGTTGGTCAGGTAGTAAATTAAACGTATCTAATTTTTTCAGGCTGTGTTTTCTAAATAAATACTTGTCTGGTGTTAAAGCAGATTAAACAGCCATGAATCAGATGGACACCACATAATCTTATTGTCATTAGTATTTCATTTGTTTAATACACGTTAGACATGCTGTTTGGTTGGACTTATTTAAAAAGAACTTGCCCTTAAATAATACAATGTCTTCACTCCAAGATGCCTTCAGAGGTTTGCACCTTCATTGTCTTTTGAACTAATTCAATTATAATATTTCTTTTTTCTTGTCACTCCAAAGGACACTGTTAGAAACCTTGCAGCTTGTCGACTCATGTTTTATCAGATACCAGTCTGGTGTTTTTGTGTTTGTTACTGAAAAGTTTGGGATGGTGAAGTCACACAGACAGACACCTTGACCTTGAAGCTTGAAATGTTTTTCTTGGCTTCCTGTCAACCACCTACAGTTCTCTTCAAACTGATGTTGCATTTCTTCCTCAATAATCAAGGTTGAAACTTCAAAAAAAGTAAAGAATGCACAAATAACAATCATTGGAAAATGTGATAATGCTGAAAGAACCTTTAAAGTACTTTTTAGGTGTTTAAATCAGTTAATTTTATTTATCTCTCTTATTTTTTCCTTTATTTTCCAGACTGTGTTTATTCTCAACCATGATTTCATGCTTCATTTTTTCTCAGGCTGCTCATTACGGATGCGGCTGCTGGGCTGAAAATGGCTGTAATCTGAATACTTACTCTACGGCAGTGAGTACCTCAGGTATACCTCACTGAAACCTTCACAATCCACTACGTAGCTGAATACATGAGTATATTTTCCATCATGCTGTTACTGTTTACTACTAGTCTGCCTTTTGTTTTGGAGATGATATGAGTCAGATGCTGATATTTGAGGTGAGTCCCAGATTTTCCGTCAGTGAATCAAGCAAGCCACTTTCCAAAGACAACGTAACCCTTTCTGCTCTGTGATTCTCTTCAGTTATTTCCTCAGCAGACTGACTCCCTGCTCTCTGTTAGTCAGCTGTAAACCAGGTGCATTGTCAAGCTCATTTGCAGCTACACAGAGAAACTGCTAAAGATACGATGACACATAAACCGCACATTAGAAACATTTTGTCTCAAGTCAATTGAAACCCCATCGTCACTGTTACACCCACAGCCTGCACTATTTCTAAAATGTGTTCATTTGCAAAAAACAAAAAGGGAAAAATACAAACAGAGGGCAACTTCCTGGCAGAAAAACATTTCAATATATCATTTTTTTTTCTTTTTGTCTTTCTGCCATCCTTCCTTTCTGTCTGTCCCTTTCCTTTTTTTTTCTGTTTCTTCCTCCACTGTTTGCAAGAAACTTTTTCTCGTTTAATCCAGTCACTTCCACTCATCACAGTGGGGTTTTATGAATTTTGTATTGCTGTTTACGACATGAACACTAACTTTAAGGGAGTGTAAAGGACATGTCATGTAGTACTCGAAGACAGTTTGCATTTATCTCCCAACATATTTATGTCATCAACTCAGCTGATAATGGAGTCAGAAGCACGTTTGTTGATTTTCATCCACACTGTTTGGTACGTAGCAGACAGCGAGGCCACGGTACAGTTTAAGTCATACAGTAAGACCCACTTCCTTAATACGTGACATCTGCTATGTTGCTTCTGGGGAAAGTTAAAACCCTTTGAAGCGGATCTGAACCATAATGCATGTCAGTACAAATGAGCTGATTTGGTCAGACGAGTTTTTGTTGGATCCGCTCGGTCCACTAATATAGACACTGCTTTGGACCAAACCATGTCTTTCTGTCCAGCGAGCTAATTGTGAGTTATTCCTGAATATGAAGATTTTAAGTATTTACATTTTGGGGTTGTGAACATTGCCCTTTCTGTCTATATAATGGCCTTTGATCTTACTAAAAAAGATTTCCTCATGGGTATGAGGATCATAGTGTGTGTTCCAGAACAACACCTGCTTTTAATTTCCTAACATGAAAGGCATCCCCATCAAAAGGAAGAGGAAAAAACAATAATTTTCGCTCTGACAGAAGGAGGATCATCGCCCTATATGTCCTTTCTTCTTTTTGTCTGACCGCCGCTGCGTCCGTCCGCCTGCCTCCCCCTCTCCCTCACCCCCACAAAGTCTGATCTCTAACATTCAGCTCGTGTGCATCTTTGTGTGACATGTGTTGACTGCCTCATATGGCTGTCTTTGCTGTGGCCTGTGAATGAAGAGCTCATTAACGTCACAGTTTATTCCCAGTTCTTCTGGCTGCATACCATTCCACTTTTCTGTTTGTTGCTTTCATTATTTACTATACATTTTTCCACAACTGCCTCGCTGTTCTAGTCTTCTTGGCTTCTCGCTGCAATTCCACCCCAGCTTACCCTCGTGTTGCCGTAATGTCCGCTTCCCCTGGGACGCAGTGAGATATGGTTAACAGTACAAATGACTCAGTACCTGACCGACTCCAACATTCTAATCTCATTAAACAAGAACTCTGGAACGCTCCAGGCATCTGGTCCCCACAGTTACCAACCTGCATTGGGTTCTGTTGTAGTTACCTGATATTTTATAGGGCCTTTGGTTGTGTTTACAGAAACAACAAGGCCATATACTAAAGTCTTAATGGGTTTTCACAGGAACACTTGCCAGATGTGTTGTGTTTTCACTTTTAGATTTCCTTTTTGCCAAGTATGGGCAGAGCTTATGTTTTTAGAATCACAGCAGGCACACAGCATGTTTCTGATGTAGAATTCTCAGTAACAATAAAGTCATGTTTTTGTGATTTAGTATTTGAGCAGTACTACTTTTTTCACAGGATTTCTTTTTGCTGAATGCATCTGTGTTGTTGCTATGAATAAAAGACTGGATTAACTTCAGCAAGTTCTCATCTGATGTAAATAGTTGGTTTGGTTTAGTGTAAACACAATGCACATTTGTTTGAAGCACAGCTACACTGCCTCTTCTTTGCTGTGCCAGTTTATTTATAGTGTTGATTGTTTTACTCATACAGTCACTCTTAATAACCTCACATTGTTTCGTGTCTAGACAGTGTTTGTATCATTGTAATTTCCTTTTTTTTGCCCTTTAAGTAGATCACATACCTGGAGTTTGGCCATTTAGGTGTTAACTCAGACAACATTTTTATGGTCCCGCATTTAAACGCTGTGTTTTTGATGGTGATGCATGTTGCATGCATACGACCCAGTACAGTCTGCCAGCACAAGTACACAGTTTACAGAAGTGGAAATAATACTGACTGGTTTCAAATTTCCAGACCAGCTGGGAATCTTGGCATGGAATCTGAAAGGGAAACTCAAACCTTCCTTCAGTGCAAACTTTCAGAGTGCCCTTGAGCAAAGCAGCTGTAGTTAGCAGCCCTTGGGGACTGCCAATAGCACCTGCAATAATGAAGCACAGTAGCACAAAGGCTTTGTCAAAGTGGGAAAAAACAATTAAAAACATCCATTGTTAAACATCAGGCATCTCAAATACGAACGTTTGATTATTAAATAGCAAATTCATACCATTATTTACCGATGTTGTATGCTATATTATATGATATATGGTGATGGACCGGTGAACCGTCCAACTGTACCACACAGCACTATGCAAAATTAGGATGTGATTTTTTGTCTTTTTTCATGTGCCTTAAGTGTAACACCTGTACCTACTCTCTAGATATTTGTTCACTTCTACCTGGGACAGTTTTTATGTCAGAAAAGTATGAGTTTTAATGTAAGTCACTGTCAAAAGGGTCATGTGTACTTGTTTTTTTCCAGGTTGTGGAGAGCATCTGATCCGCACCATGCTGGCACGAGAATGCTCCTCTGCCATGCAGACTGAAGATGCCCACCGTGCACTGCTGGAGACTATGCAAAACAAATTCATCAGTGAGTGTCCCACAGTACATGAGACAATTGCCAGGCCTTTGCTTAAACACAATTGTGTCAGCCAAGAGCATGTATGCACAAGCAGTTGTGCACGAGGAGAATAAAAGTCGACAAACAGATGTCGCCACTGGAAACACTGAATATCTGGTCTTTGATTCATGGCTGATTTTCACTGTTTAAACTATGTCTTAGATGTCCACACATCATAGCTGTCAGCTACAGAGGATTTTGGAAGATGTGACTGTCTTGCTAAAAAATTCATTTGTTCATAGGAGTTCATAACCGTGTTCCCAGAAGCGGTCAGTTTAAGTTTTTTTATTTTATTTTATTTGCCGTGCCTTTGACTGGTCACGGGGATCGCTGGGCGAGGACAGCAGAGGGTGAAACATGTGGAAACATGTGGTGGTTTCCTCCTTCTCCTGGCCCCCTTTAGAAGTCGGTCCCAGTTTGGCTTTGTCATGGACATATGTTTCACCGAGACATTTGGACATGCTGCACAGAGTCATTTGGAAGTTGCCTCTTTTGTCGTGTCCTTTCAAGGTGCACATTAAGTTAAACAAAGCGTCATAAATCCAGTGTTAGTAGGAACAAGAATAAGAACTTCTCTGATGTAAACTTTATTTGAAAAGGTAGTACTCATGGTTAAGTACCTATTAGAAAAAAAGTGTTTTATCTGTGTGTTACAGGGATTTATTTTTTATTTGTGACTAATTCAAATGATGGAATTATTAAAAATGATAAGAAAAGTTTGTCAAAGTCTTAACACTAAATGTAGCTTCATAGATTAGGTGGATTTCAATCATTGCTGTGTATCTGGACTGACTTAAGCTTTACAATTGACCTGAAGTTGAAGCCTCTACAAACACATGCTGGGTGTTTAGATGGTATTGTGTATCAACAGGAGACAGACAGACCTGACACAACGTGTGTATCCACTGTTTGTTAGAGTATCGATAAAGAGAATGAAGTTTGAAATCTTCCGGAAATTTAAAACTATACACTGTTAATGATAAATAATGGAGATAATTAGAACATCAGTTATACTTTAAATGATGCCATGCAGTCTGCAGGTCACGTGACAGCAGTGCTACATAATGCATTTTCCAAAAGGATGCACAGACACGGAGAGTTAGTGTGACTGTATTTTCTTTTCTTTTTCATTTTTGCGTCATTCTGTTTTGTTTGTGTCTACAGGCTCCCCCTTTCTGGCGAGTGAAGATCGTGTACTGGGCGGAGTAATCGTCTTACGGTGCTGCAGATGTGTAGAAACTCAGCCATCTCAAAATATTCAGGGTATCCTGGGTAAGACAGTACTCACTTCACTTCCTCATCTAATCACTGGCACACCCTCGCCATAGCTCATAGACAGAGAGTAGCTGTTAATATTTGAACATCCATCCTCAGATAGTCATGAGGAAGGGGATGAGGAGGAGGAGGAGGAGGGGGGAGACTGCCACTTTCCTGGCTGGTGGTCTGTGTTTTTACTTGCACAATCAGGCTCTGGTTTCACGCCCTTCATCTCAGATTCAAACACAGACCTCCCACTGTGAAAATCAGCCACTAATCTACAGATAAGTGGAGGCCTTCTGAATACTGCTCACTTTGGCTGATTGTGTTGGTGGATCTTGTTGCTTTACCTGGAACTCCACCAGCATTATGGAACTGAAAACCCTGCGCCATTAGATTAATTAAATTTGATTTTACCCCTAGGTTACCACAATATATTAACTCTTATTCCCCAAAAATAAAGTAGATTAAATATTTGTCCCACAAAAAAGATTACAAGTTGATTCCAAACCTGATGTCTTGGCAAATGCAAACTCAAGGTCTTTGTGGTCGCATGGAATTAGCTGGCGTCATAAAATGAGCCTAAAATTGAATTTTTTTCTGACCAATATATCTTCTTCAATTGTGCTTGAGGATTGTACTGTCGGCCAAACTAAATTACTGCAGGCTGCAAATATTTATTTAATAGCAAAGACATTCAATAACATCCTTTTGCAGCTGAGTTTCCAAGACAGTTTACAGATTTAGCTTTTCTCTGCTTTTTCACTTTTTGGATGAGTCACTGCTGCATACTTCATACTGTATTTTGCCCTAGTTTTACTACACTTTGAAAAATTGACTCATCTGTTGGATATTTGCTTACATTTTTGCTTATATTTTTACAGTGGAGTTCCTATGGAGCCACACCACAGAGAGCATGTGTGTTGGCTACATGTCTGCCCAGGATAGCAAAGCAAGGGTGAGTTTCCAGGTATCAAAATGTGTCTTAATGTCCTTTAAATTAATTGTGTCTGGTTTATAGCAGTAGAGACATAGAGTTGTCTCTCGAAAAAAGAAGGTTTAACATGATGTGTTTCTATTAATTCTATTAAGAGGAACAAAAAACAAAATAACAGAAACAGGGCCTGTCAAAAAAAGTATACTTACTAATTAAACCTTTTTTGTTGCTCCCTGCATCGTTCACTCTCTCTTGCTCTGCTTCATCAGCGTCAACTCGTTCTCTACCAGCAGGCGTTTGCTTGCCGTTGCTAGTGTAACAATGGGCGGCAAATTTATTTCCACTTTCACTTATTTAAACAACAAGGTTCCTCTGTTACTGGAAAGCACTACTGAGCCAAACTTCTGGTCCCTTTGGTCCAGGGCAGGGATTTTTTCCTCTCTACCCCCTGTGTCTGTCGTCTTCCTCTGCCATATTGTCTGTTGAGAGGCGCAGGTCGGCTACAAATGTCAATTGCAGATGCTGGGATTTGAAAACGATGTTAAATCACTGAGGTGATTGGAAGTGCCTTTTATGACCTCTCAAGAACGGAGGCTTATTGGACCTAGCCCCTGGTTCTTGGTGCAGTAACTTCATAGACTGTTTGGCTAATGGCACTGTTGTTTAAGCCTGGTTCACATTTCAAAGCCTTCGCCCACTGCCCCACTGCCCCACCACCCTGACTGCTTACCCATTCAGCATGACCCTCTCTGCTCCTACCTGCTCCAAAAGTACCCTAAAGTGAACTGAGTCATGAACCACCGGGGATATCGGTATCAATCTGCATACTTGTCACATTGCTTGTGTGTATTGGCCTTTGAGGAGGAATGTGAGCGAGGAAGCTCACTTTTCACACCTTTGTCTTTGTAAAGTCGTGAGCACAACCCAGTTTGATGTTGTAAGAAGGCATTTTGAAATCACTGTACTGAAATATGCTGTAGTTTGTTGGTTAACTTTCTTAAAAAAATTCATGTGGTACCAAATGGGATTTGGGCCACACAATAGCATTAAAGTAATCATCTTTCAAGTTCTCCCCAAGCGTTTCTTTGTTAAGCTCCATCTGTGATGTTTTTGAAATTAATGTGCCCAGTGGGTGCAGCTCCATGAATATCATCTGTCAGTATTGGTTACTTGATCTCCTGGGAGAGGGTGTCAACTTCCTCCTGGGTAGGGGCGGGGGGGGCACTGATGACGTAGTGAGTTTTGAAGTGCGCAGTCAAGAACACAGCTGCTCCACCAAACCTCACAATGAGCTATCAAAGACCCAACAGCTCGTTGTGCGGCTGAGGCTGTGATGCCTGCATGTGTGTCTCTGCAGATCTCACCATCTGCATACCAGAGAATCTGCCTCTTCTGTCCTTCATGCCTTCACACTCAGTGCACAACAAGGTTTCCATTTCCCCCCAGACGGGCCCAGAGCTGGCCACCAAAAAGTCAAAAGAGAGCAGACGTTTGAACCCAATCTGGTAAAGTTTATCAAATCAGGGATCTCCACTCTGGTTGACCATCATCTACAAACGCTGCAGCACACACTGTAACCCACAGCAGTGGGTTGTACCAACTGTTCTTTTTAAAAAACAGATCTTTCAATATACCCTCTGAAGGATTTCCAAGATTAGATGCAATTATGAATCGCAGAGCGTGATCAGACCATTTGGATCTTCTTGTTGATATTATGCCTCCAGCCTCCAGTAGGCAAAAAACATCTTCAAACACTACCAGACAACAGAAGTACCCAACACTCACAAAACAAACCAATATAATTAAACAACAATAACCAATAATAAATCAACATTTACAGAAGTTCTTCTTCAGGTTCTGTTTGAACATTTGAAAAGTCCTGACTGCCCCCAAAATATGAGCGATACAATACTGTGTCAAACTGTATAATACAATAGCCAATATGATATGAAAGTATCAATTATGAAAGTTAAAAATAAAAGAATATTTATAATGCTTTTCTTGGTTGCAAAATAATATTAGAATTTATTTATTTATTTTTTTACTATTGCAGAATTAGAAATTTAGAAGAATATTTAGCATGCAGTACCTGCCCTCCAGGGGACGCCCTCTTGTTTTCACCCATAGTATCTGTTATGTATGTTATGTAACAACAGTCATTTTCATCGGTGATTAGTCAGAGATAACAAGCAGTGTTTCAGAAGAAAAGGGGAAAAGTTAATCATTGATTTTGAATTTTTCAGCCCAAACAAACAAGATGTGCAAGTGTACAATAAAACAATAAAACTCGTTGGTTGTTGTCCTAAGGACATCCTCCACATCAGACTGTTCAGTGCAGTGTTACGGCGACTGTCAAACATTCACAGTTGGAGCTCTTCATCTCTTCAGCTGCTCCTTCACAGACATTCTTCACATACCTATACTCTAAGCATCCTGTGGGTGATTCTCATCAACCAGTGAAAGTCTGTCTGTTGGTGTTTTTCTCTGATAAGTATGAATTATACAGTAGCAGGGGGAAAGTGGGCCAAAGGCCGGAGTGGATTTTTATTCAAGCACTTCTCTCTCTTTCATGGTTTTACACTGTTTTCACTGTGAGATAGCTGTGTTTGTTTTGCCTGATTATAGTTCAATACCAGACAACAGTGAAATGCACTATGGCCCAGTTCAAAGTGTGGTGGACATTCATGCAGTTCTCCAGACTCTGTACTGACAGCTCTTTCATCAGATGTTTCTAGGAGTACTTACCTGATCTTAGTTTTTGACAGACTACCTTTTCTTCGTTAGTTTGATCAGCAGAACAGATTTGTGGCGATTATTTTGGACTATGTTTTTGTTGTTCGTGGAGACTGGACAGATAAAAGAGAATCACAGAACTCTACGCTCCGTCACCACGGCCCATTTCCCGCCTGCTGGGCATAATTACCTCTGTATGAACATTGTGCAGCTAAAATGGTGTATTGCAAAATCAAATAGCATGCAATGTAGTCATTCACATTGCCTGCCTTGTATATTGCATGATAAATGATTTTCATTATGGTACATTTTGTTTCTATTATCCATCTCGTGTGGAGAATAACTAGCATATGATTTTTTTTTCATTTTTATTGTGTTCAAAGAACAGAATGTTTAAACCGCAGCACAAAGGCAGCAGCAGAGTCAATGAGCTAAAATGATTCCTCAGCCTACATTGTGGTGTTAATGTGTGGCTTCTTGAGCTCCTAAACACATTCGTATCACCAAAGAATGTTGTTTTGCTCTGCATGATACAATGGAATTGTGTTTTTCACGTCATGTTTGGATCTTGTCAGTTAAGTTAGAAGCTGACGACAGGCCTACTTTGGGTTGGCAGGAATTTTTTTTCCCTCCGGCTGTCATACTATATTTTTGTTATATTTAACCGTCTTTAAAGGCACTGCACTTATTATTGGTTCTTTGACATGATTTTGACAATAAGGATGAAAAGACTAATTTTAATTTTGGGGTTTATTCCAAAATTGTTTAACACTGAATTGATTGAGATAACACATGAATATCACTTTTCTACAAAAGGGAAATCTTCTGTGGTGATCTGTTTGCCTGCAGTAAGATAAGAGGTCAATAGATCCTCGAATTGTACCAAGTACTTTGAATAACAATCTTAACCAGACTGGGTCATTTTGTGACCCCAGAGGTCAACAGGTGTCCGCAGTGTGGAGCACATTATGAGGATTAAACCAGTGCATGTTTTTAGAGTGCACATGACATCTTCAGGGCTGTAATGGTGTTAATGGTTTCTGGGTTAGTTAGTAACCATTTACCTCTTCCTGCAAAACTTTTACACTGACACCAAAATAATGGTAGGTATATGCAACAGTGATGTGTTATGTAGGGATCAGTTCAAGGTCACTTGGGTGTCACTGCGTGACATGGTTTCTTACAAAGTACATGAAGTCATACTGATGGCTTAATGGTGTCTGTATTTTCAGCTGTGTATTCAGTGTCCTTGGAATTTGGAAAGAGCTTTTGCGTCGATCTGCACTGCAGACATCAAAAGAAAAACAATTAGCGTGTCACCATTAGTCAATTATGTCCCAGCTACGGAGCTTCAATCAGAACTATTCAGAGGAGGCTTCTCTTTAACCTCATCCCCAGAAGATGAAGGGTAAGAAGAGGAAGGCAGAGAGGGGTTCTGGAGGCATAATAGCCCCCAGAGTGTTGCCATGTGTGCTGTGCCTTGTCTGGCTGTTGTCCTGCTGCAGTGACAGCCGTTGCCCTTGGGCTGCCAGGGGCCATCGCTTAGGACTCTGTGAAAAACAGTCCAGTCCAGTCGAAGGCTTTTTCAACTGAAAGAGTGATGTCAGGCCAATTCATTACTCTGATGAATAAGTGGAAGGACTCTTCCCTGTAGGCTGGAGCCTCTAAGGAGCAAGACAGAGAGGAAGGAGGTTGACAGCCATTACTGGCACAGAGATAGTGTCACCTTTGATCCTCCAGTGGAAGTTATACTCGAGCCTCCGCAGCTGCGTTTTCCCCTTCCCTTCACCTCTTAATCTTCAGTGTCTCTGGTCAAATAAAGAACATTTGCAGTGCATGCCATCTCAGTTCAAAAGCTCTGAAGGTACTAGGTTAAAGCAATGACCTGCATATAATAGCGCAGTTAGGACAGAAGTGGTGCAACATGCTAACGTGGAAAATGGAGTTTGTATTTTAAAAGACACAAAGACAATAAATGAACTTCAACAACAACAACAACATAGAAGACATCAAAAAGAATATCAGTCAACATTAGACACATGACGTTTTGTATTCGTGACTGATGACTAGTCCAACTTTAGGTTAAAGTCGGTGTTTGGTATTATAATAATAGATATGTTGATAAATGTAACATTATTTGAAATTTTATGCACATATTTTAGCTTTAGAATTAACTAAAAAATATATTTAGAACCCTGGGGAACACCTGCTGTATTGATGTGTGTGTTTTAAATATATAAATATAAGTTGGACTATTAAAAATAAATTTAAATGTCACACAATTAAGGGTTATTAGAATCTGGCTAGTAAGACTTAGCTTAGCGTACCAATTTCCATAAAACCTGTCAAATTATTTGGATGTTTTTCTCATTGTGTCTTCTGTGGGTTTTTTTTTCTAGACACACATATCCCGACTTCCACCAGGTACTGTTCCTGGACAATCTTTGGCCATCGAGGGAGGTGTGTGTCGACTGATGAGTGTAGCGGAGTAAGCCACATTCGCCTTCCTTTTAATCTTCTTCAGCAATATTCTAGTTTACACACACTCTCACTCGCACTCCGTACTCACCCACTCACAACTTTATTGCTACGAATAATAAGCTTCAGCTGATTGAAGTAGGCTATGGTCGCAGTACCGATGTCTTGGTTTAAGAAATTAATATCCATTTTTGAGGCAATATTTATATAAATTTATTAAAATACATTTAATCAATTTGAACGACTGTATAGGTAACTAATATATTTGTAAAGGTGGAGCACATGCTCCCTGATGGACAAAGATGGTCTTCAAAGATGTTTTAGACTATTTTTAGTAACATTGTGCTGCATATTAAACATATAGATGTCCGTGTATGTGTGATGAGCCAATATAAACTGATACAGTTGATGGACTGGGTCATGAGTTGGGCTTTAATTGTCCAGAAAGGATGGAGGAAGCTGAGCTTATTCACAATGCACTTACAGGGCTTCCCTCCCACCTTTTGCCTCCAGCATGTACTCTCTGCCTATGAACCACGTGCTCCCCAGTGTGGACTGGATTAGACTTGACGCACCCCTGTCTTTATCAGTTAGACCTTGACTGACTAACAGCAGTGTCTTTCCTTTTGTATTAAAGCTATGGTTTAGGAACACAGGGTGGACGTTCAATTTATTTTAGTGATGACTTTTAAATCCCCCAGGCCTTATTTTTTTTTTTTTGAAAATAACTTTACTGATTAAATGATGTCAGATTGCACCTTGTGGGACGCATACAGCTCAGAACAGTAGCTTTTACAGCAGATGTTTTTTTAAAAATTGTATTAGCATTAGCATGTACAGTCCAACATCCATATACATAACCGTATTATGCAAAGTGGTATTTATACATCATCACACTTAATGAAGCATATTGTTGGTCACAGCTGTAGAGCATGATACAGTTGATCATAGTTTTGCCAACTACGCTTTGGTTTTGATTATCTCTCATGTGAACGTGTTAGCATCGCATGTACGATATCTACAGTGACTCTGTTACTTTTATCTAACATGCATATAGTTGATCAAGATTTCATGTTTGTGCGTGTGTGTATGTGTGTGTGTGTCTAGCGCTCAGGTAGCAGCATTTAATCCTCCATCAGACATGACTGTTAGCCATCAGTTAAATAACAGTTTATATACAGTATATTTGTATAGTCACACTGACAGAGTCGTGTATTTTCTTGCCAAAAAAAAAAAGCTAAGAACTAATATATGCATCAAGCCCATGAAATGGTGCTGTGGAGAATTGTACTTGAAATGACAAACAGCCTAAATTAACGTTTATGTTACGATAATCAGATTCTGTGTCTGCGCAGTTAAACTCACTTACTGCTAAATTACCTGTCTTAACCAATATTCTTAACTTGAAAATGCAGCTAATATTAAATTGTATAAGCTATGGAGAAAAAGGTAATATGTGCACAGCTGTCTACAGTGCTCAAAACAATAATAAAAGTTATGTTGCTACATTTCTGCCTGGATCATTTTACCTTCATTTTTCAGACTTTACCTCATTTGGAAAAAGTCATATCGTTGTTACTGTTTTAAGAGTAGTTGATGTGAGCGTTAAACACTCAACATAAATGTCATCATCTGGGTATGTGGTTGCCAAAAATGGAAAGTCTTGGTGTATATTACGTGCTGTGTAGTAACAGGAGTACAGGAGTTCTGCTTTGAGGCTTATGCTCGCTCAGCTTGAGAGGAAATATTTACGCCCGTTTTATTTTGCTGTCATAACACTGCTTAAGGTGGAGTATACAGAAATGTTCAATACCATAAAACGTAGAGAAGTATTTCTTACAGTCACAGAAAGTATATTTTCCTTCATTAGTAGCATTGACGCTACACTCTGGCAATACTGTCTTCTTATCCGTTGCTGTCTCTGTTGCCCAGTGGGAAGTGGAGCCGTTCTTTAACATGGCAGGAAAGAAGTTAGTCGTCCTCAATTATGTATGATGCAAATTGAGCTGTGAATTTTTTTTATTGTGATTTCTGTATCAAAGGGTGGTGATTCCATTGTGGGAGGGCAACAACTTCACTGAAGTTTTGAAAGAAACTCTTGACGCATTCAACAACCCACCGTCAAGATTCAGAAAAATGAGTAGAATCCACCAACTGTATGAAGCAAACTGTCAGTTATATTTTTGCATATTTTACCATTTCATTTCATCGTTAGGGTTAGTCACAATAAAATAGTTTTATCATATTTAGGAATATTGATTGATCTAGATTAATCATGATTAATTGTGACCTAATTAATAATGATGTATGCTGATTTATCCACAGTTCCACTATGATTAATCAGACAGCCCTGATGTAAATGATGACACTCTGAACTTGGCAGGCTCAGCATTGGAACTGCATTTATAGGACCACAGCAGAGGACAGCCGGTATTTTGTGTTTGTAAACAACGGGCTTGAATTGTTGCATACTGATCGTATGAACGTTTATATGACATGAAGCAGTTATTTATAACAAATGCATCTCCGAAGAGATAGTTTGTTCAGCTGCTGTCTTTGACCACGGCAGAGTCAGGAGAGGAATGTGCAACAGAGATGTTGAGGGCAGATAAATATATTTGCTGTTTGAAGACAGGAGTATTTTCCTGTCAGTGCATCACGTTCTTGTTGTGATGATATCCAGCTGCTCTCAGTCTCAGGTGTTAGATGTCAGAGTCTTTTGACATCACTAATGTGCAAAATATATTTCGGTGGTCGGCCGGAGCAGGAGAAGGTTACTTGGGAGGTACTATTTGTTTTTGTTGTTTGATCCTCATCACCCCTGACCTGGGATTGATCCAGAGGGTCCATCTAGAACGGGGACGTGTATTACCTTACCCCTCACCCACACTCACACCATCCTCCATTAACTTGATTATGTGTTATTACAGGGCACTCTCCTTTCTGTTCAGAGCTAATCTGTGTTGCTGGGAGACCCTGGGTCTTATTCAGCGCAGCACTTTCCCCTTCAAACATCGGGCCCTCTCTGTCCTGGATCCTCTTAGCTTTGAAAAAGAATCCCAGGTCTTTAAAAAGTGGACGAGGTCCTGAGCCATTCAAGGTGTATCCAATGCCCTGCTCTCAGCAAGGCTCTTAAATGCAAAACAGACGGTGGAGCAAATAAAGATCAAAGGCAGCGAGCTTGCCTGTCTGCCTGCTGTCCTCACATGCCAAGCGCTGCTGTCACTGTGAATCACGGCCATGCGGCTTCCGTGCTCACGCTGACACTCATACCACCCCCCCATTCCTGAGCCACTAACCCCTTAGCACAGTTACAGCCCCTCTGTGCCAGCGTCTAACATCATACAAGGGGCTGGCTCCTTCATTTGCACCAAGGCTGCACTGACCCAACAGGGATTTGAAGATCCAGTCCTGGCTCACCTCAGCGCTTATCAGGATCTGCACTTATCGCATCAGAGCGCTGAGCCGGGCTCTTGAGTTTCAGTGTGTGAGCTTCAGTGTGTGTTCAGTTAGTTATTCTTTCCCTTGGGCCTCTCAAGACATGGTGAAAAGTCACAGCGGCTGCAAGAAGGCTGTCAAACTCCATGCGTTAATCTCGTAAACTCCTTTGTGAAATAATCAGATTAAAATTTTAAAGTGAACAGAATGATGTGGCCTGTTCACTTATTCCACCCTTCATCCCCATTGGTTTACTCAGTACAGCCTCAATTCGAGATTGTTGATTTATCTTGAGTAATCAGGATTAATTAATTAATTAATAAAGTACAATCATGATTAATTCTGATTAATCACAGCTAATCCAATTAGATTCAAATTGTAACTCTTGTGACAGCCCTAATAAAGCTGTTATCTTAGACGTGGTACGTCTGAGTGGATCAGAGGTTTCAGTTATGTGCCGTGTCCCTGCAGCATGTCAACACTGGTGGCAGAGGTAAGGCAGTCTGGCCTCTCAGATGCTTCGCAGCTACTTGACCTGTTTGTTCAGCTGCACTCCCAGGCACAT